TAACTTGATCATTTCTCTTTTTTGCTTTCTTTTATGTATATTTAAATTTATTTCTTCTATTTGGTAGGTTGATGTGTTCTAGCAATGCTACTAAACCCTGCATTTCTTCTTGTGGTTTCTTGGTTTTTGTAAACATTGCTGACAATGGTTAACCCACAAGTAGTAATATTCAAATTGTACCTAAAAATTACCATCAGAACACCTGGCCATTCTAATATATTGGCCTGAGCTCATGCTTCCAGTCATCCATGTTTGTTGCATAATTTGTGCAAATTATATTTACTTGACTGCTTTATTCAAAAGTTCAATAATTAGCTGTTCTTCATAGTTCCTGAAAGGAAAAAGAATAAACTGTTTATAATACAAAACTCCCCATCAGAAAGATTTTGTAAAAATTCTCAGAGAAGAATGAATACACAGAATATTGATGTCTTTATTTATTGAATCTGTTAAATCTCTGAGGGTTTTTACCTTCATAACTCTTTGTTCCAGTTAATACTCAAACATGTTCTATTGCTCAGCCCTTATTTTCCAGCAAGAAACTCTGGAATGCTTTTCTTGGAGAGAGCTTTAGTAAGTCCCTAATAGTCTTGATAACCATAAACAATGTGATTTAAAAGTTGAACTGTCTTTCTTAGTTTGCTCAGGACTGGGGAGTTTCCTGGGACTGTAACTTTCAGTGCTAAAACGAGAGAATTCTTCGCCAACTGAGATGGGGGGGTCAATGGATGCAATAATTGCATTTGTTTAGTGTTTTAAAGGTGTCTTAGCAATAATAATCTACAAAATTAATACATTTGAATTTTACTAGTATAATAAAGTGTATTTGCAATATGGAAAAGCTATACCTCCTTATGTACTGCTGGAAATAATATCTGATAAAGTTCTGTTCTATTAATACATTAAAAACTCCTTCTAATTGAGAACTGGCCCTTACCAAGTGGGATGGTTGATCCTAGAGACCCCTGTTCCTTGTACCACTTAGTCCTAAATTTTCTCAGGTTTAAAAGACACGTACACTGTAAGGAATAAGTTTATTACCATCCCAATTAATTGATGGTACTTACTACAAGAGATTTAGACTAGATGAAGTAACTAGATGGGACACTTCATACCAGAGTTTTAGTGGTTATGTGAATAATTCCATTACTTCAGGAAGTAAACAACCTCTTAGCACACACTGGTGGATTTAAGCTACCCCCATTACTTAATCATGTGTCCATTTATACAAATTTGCAGCTCCACTTTAGTTGGTAAATGAAGTTACATAAATGTCTTTCTCCTAACTCTGAAGACTTTAAAATTTAACAGAATCCTTAGTTATATAGATTGAACTTAAAGACATTTAGCCTTGATGAATTGTTGCATCTTTTCATATCCTTAAGCTCATGGAGCACTTGAATATAATTAAAAAGACATACAATTTATTGTCAGGTATTTTGCAAGGTTTTATTTGAATTAATATTACAATAAATATGATTATTTTAAACTGATAGCCGTTCTTGAGTCAGAGAATGTCTTCCAACTTTTGTTTTTAAATTTAATTTCGATATACTTTATTGATAAAATAAATGTTTCAGTAATACTGTGTAAGTAACAAGGCTCAAAAAAATCTTATTTTGTCTTATATTAATCTTCTAAAATACATCAATTTACTATTTGGTTGATCATTATGGATTTTCCATAGAGTCAATATATTTTAATTAAATACAGCCATTATTATTCTTCATAAGTTCTTTTGGTTGCCTTCTGTGTTCTTTGACATGATCTATGCCATGATTCAAATATCAATCTTTGAAAGCTTTATTCCTTTCTAACAAATATTAGTGTAAATTTTCTAAAACATTACTTTTTTATAATTTACTTTTTTTACAATTATTTATAATTGTTTTTTCATTAAACTTTAAAATATTAAGGTTGTAGGTACTGTTTATTCACTACTACCTGCTCCAGACATGAGTCCACCAGTTTTCCTAAGATCCCTGGTTACTTTTAATTGAAAAATTATATTTGAAAACAGGATCTAAGTATGGACTGAATTGATCTGAGTCCATGTCAATGAACAGATCTGGAATATTTAGATGATAGGTAAATAGGTAAAAAGATTTGATAAAATGTGCACTATTCAATCCAACTTTAAAGTGCTCCTACTTTTGTTAATTCTATGTACTTTTTGACCTTCTCTCTTATGCTGGATAAGTTGGTTCCTAATGAAAATGGATACTATATTATTTACTTTATGTGGCAAGGAAATAGATGACAATTCAATATTAATGTAAGTTAATATTATTGAATCAAGTTTAAGATTCCATCTTCATTTCCTTTGGTTCTTTAATGTACCAAAGATTTATTTTTGGTACATTAAAGATTATTCTTTAATGTACCAGTAGATTTATTTTTTCTAAGATGTCTCATTAACGGTCATTTTGTGTGACTCTATCAATACTTATCCAATAGACCATTTGGTGAATTACATTGGTTTTCTTTCCATTTGAAGCATTATTATTACAACACTTGACAGTTTTAAGTCCTAAGGTGGTGGAGACTCTGAGCCAATCTTCTTTTCTGGGTGATCATGTTCTGGAGGAGCACCTGGAGTTAAACAAGGGCTCATCTATTTGTGTAATTTGGGACAATAAGAAAATTCCAGCATGTTAATTCCCAAAGTTCTGTATAAGAATTTCATTTAGCAACTGTCTGGTTTATCTACATTATGACTTGTTACCGAATTAGAAATGTACATGTAAGTTTTAATTAGACAAACTATTACTGTGTATTGCTATTTAATATTCAGTAGTGTATGACATTTGTATTTTCATATTTTCAAGCCAATCTTCTTTTCTGGGTGATCATGTTCTGGAGGAGCACCTGGAGTTAAACAAGGGCTCATCTATTTGTGTAATTTGGGACAATAAGAAAATTCCAGCATGTTAATTCCCAAAGTTCTGTATAAGAATTTCATTTAGCAACTGTCTGGTTTATCTACATTATGACTTGTTACCGAATTAGAAATGTACATGTAAGTTTTAATTAGACAAACTATTACTGTGTATTGCTATTTAATATTCAGTAGTGTATGACATTTGTATTTTCATATTTTCTATTAAATTTTAATGTGATCAAATTCTATTCTAAGCTAAAGCTTTTAAATTTACCTCACTCCCTTTTTTGATCTTCAAGATCTTTTCTTTTTTATAATATACTATATTCTCAGAGTAATATATTAGGCAGTGTTATAGTAATATAAAAATTTATTTTGTATTAGCCCATATGATTCTCCTAATAAATATTAGCTTATCCGATATCAATTTAAGTCTTAATTTTTTATTGTGTAAATAATAGGATCAAATAGTTTTCTAGTATTTTGATACCCTATATTGTCTGAGAAAAACATGTAAATACAAAATACAAGATTTTGTGTTAAAACCTTTTTTGACTCATGGGTAAAAATCATATTTTACTTTACACAATTGTTGGCAATATTTTTATTTTGCACATACAGACTTTAGTGCAGAGTTCCCAGTTTCTAAGATGCATTTGAATAATGAAAATTCATTCATTCAGTCTGTGATATTTCAAATGTGCAAAATCCAATTGAGAATTTTTAAATAACCAGAGTATATGAAAATAAAATATTGTAACCATCTATAATTATCAGAAAAACCAGTTATTCCATATTTATTTTTCCAGAAAGTTCAAGTCAAAACCTTTACTTTCATTTGTATATTTTTCTGCTTATCTAGATTTTTACAAAAACAAATTCATATACAACAGTTTAACAATACCAGCATATGTCAGTTTAATTTGTTTTTGAAATCCAACGATTTATAATGTATTTACATTAAGCTATAGCTAGTTTGGGTATAGAATTTCAGTGTCTTTCATGGATTTAATAGTCACCAAGTCCTTAGTAACATCACATAGCTCCAACTAAAACCTCTACATCATTACACACTTTAAAATTAAAATAAGACATTGCAGTTCACAATTTTATTCTATGATAATATTTTTATTGGCCTTTGAAAATAAAAAAGATATTTGATAAGAAATTCCCCATTTTACAACAAGTGCTGCAGTAAAACAGCAAAATTCATAGATGAATCTTGTAATCACAAGACTGGAGGCTATTTGTTCAAATCCACCATTCACCTAGAACCAGGACTTTAAGACTCTAACCTTAAGGACCGTCTTCTTTCTCTCCCAGGGGCCTGTTTAACCTGTGTACACTTAAGTCTCTCTCTCTCTCTAGTTTGATTCACAAAGTCCTTTTAGCTTTGTCAGCCTTGCCTCTCCACTAAAAATCTTCCAACATAGTCAAACTATACTTTGAACAAAATATTCTAACAGAATTCTTCACATTGTGTCCCAGTGTTATGCTCTGCTAATTTTTTTAACGATGCTGGCAGTAGAGGGTACTGGCATTCTTTGCTGTTTTGAGATGCTCTCCAAACATTTTCTTGAAAAAACTTAAGGGAGTTTTACAACCTCTCCTGGGTTTCTTCAAGAACGATAATTGTGGTTTGGTCTTTCTTTTATAAATCTTCCTAAAGATATTTTGACTCCATCTGGATTTTTAACTGTTTCTATCAGATATTCCTGGATGTCATGGTCGGAGAAATAAGCAAAGAAAATCATCAGTATGGGGTTGTCCATGGTATCTAAACAGGTTCAGCTTTATTTGATATGATAGACAGGCAAGATCACAATGAGACACCAATTTACAATTAATAAACAATACCAAGGATCTGAGAAGTTGTTCAGTGCGAACTCTGCTTACATACAGATACTACGAATTTGAATGGGAACCACCGCTTTGGGAGGTATGTTTGCATTTTCTTGTAAACTGCACCAGTTTCACAACTTATTGCACAACAGTTCAAACTTAGATACGTAGTTACATGACACAACTGAGAAAATGAACAGATACAGGTGTGGCTGGAGATTGGCGAGGGAGGGTTTGAATTCTGTCACAAGGAAAGCTCCTGTCATTAACATCAACACATATGTTTGCTTTTGAAGCAGCAGCATGTCTGAGTTGACACTTATCATGAAGTCAATGTTATGTACTTCCCTTTCGTGAATGATCTGGAGCAAAGGGGCCAATGAGAACTTTGGGGCCAGCAAAGAAGGTAAGAATCCAGATAATTCATCACACTTAGGTTTGGAAATGGTGGCACAAGGGATCAGGAATTCACTTTTAAAGGAACATGGCAGGAAGCTGACATTCATTTTTATTGAAAATTTTAGCAGAAATAAAATTAGATCCTCGTAAGTGCATAGGTTACCAGAAACAAGAATGGAAAAGGAAAAGTGTCCTTTTGTAACAATAAACATGAGGAGGAGAGTAAAGGGAGGGGGCAAAAGTCTACTTTTGACAGTGCCTGATATATAAAGGAATTCTGCTTTGACTGAACATTAGTAATTTCTTTGTTACCTACACAAAGAGGCAAACCATCGCTTGCAATCAGTATTTAAAAATTGTTTATTGACAGAGAACAAATTAATTTGTACTCCAAAAGTCAGACAAGGTTGAGGATGAAGTGTTCTACCAGGCATCTCTTTGACTATTAAATTGTAGTAATCTGCAATCCAGAGATTGATGCCATGTCATCACCGATGAATGATGGAACATTAAACTGCCTAGTATCATAAATCAGTTTTTAGGCAACAGATTTCATTCAGGTGTGTTTTTATTCTAAATTTATAGACTGAGTTTAATAGTGTGTGAAGAAAAAGACAAACCCTTTTGAACAGAGACATATTATATTTCCTTGATACAATATGAAAACAGTTCTTTTACTTTATACCTCAAGAATGTGATATCTCCCAAAGAAAATTAGAATTAATATTAAAATGCAAATTTATTGTCTTGATTTAACATTGAGAAGTAATATGTGTGGGAATCTTAGGAACAAAAGACAGCTTAAACTTTTTAATTTATTACTTAGTATTTCTTTGTTTTCTCAGAATTGGATTACTGGCTTCAGTTCTCATTCAAGATTTTTTAAATATCACTAAAATAATAAACTTTCAAAACTGTTAGCAGTAATCCTGAATGCCAGAGTAGATGCAACAATATGAAAGTTCTGAAGGAATGTAAGTTGAAAACTTAGCATTGTATTCATATCTGGTAAGAGAAGTGGATTCAAAATGTCCCAAATTTTTAGCTACGCAAAATTCCCTAAATTGTCTATATATATATATATGTATATTAGAAAAGTTTATTCACATTATATACTTTATATACACTATATATATATATGAACTTTTCTAATATACTTGTGAGAGACTTAAGAAAGGCCCACAACAAAACTAAGGAGTCAAAAATTGGAAAACAGACTAAATGAAATTGGAGCAGCTGAATATGAAATAGAAAAAGTGAAACAAACTAGAAAAATTTAAAAGAGCATCCTATAGTGCAATCATTTTTAAACAGGGCTGCTCGTTAGAATCACATATGAAACTTTGGTGAAAAAAACAATACCTGGGCCATTTCTATTTTTATATTTTGTATCTTTGAATTTTTATTTTTTACAGGGACATACATACAAAATGCATGAATCTTAGTATACAGCTTGATGCATTTTGCAATGTATATACACTCATGTAACCACTGCTCAGATCAAATTATCAAACATTCTCACTAATGTTTTTCTCCTATTTATATTTTTTAAAAACTTCCAAGGTAATTCTAATGTGCAGCTAGATTTTAAAAAGAAATTTTAGGTGTTTCTTATAAGCAGCAATTTAGGAGATATAGAATTATATTTAGTTCTCTGTGGACCAATCATAATGCATGGTATTAAAATGAATAATACATAATTGCAAGTAAAAAATGTTAATCAGTTTTCATGATGAATAGTCAAACCAGGAAAAAAGATAATTTAATCGCAAATTATAGTGCAAATATGATTTACCTAATAATATAAACATAACTACGTAATCTTAGGAGATGAGGTGATTGATAGAGTAGGTGAATATGTGTACACACGTTTTTATCGTTCACAGCAATAATTCAGCCAACACTTTGAATTTATTAAATGAGGAAATGAGGAATAAACATTTAAAGAATTAAGTTTAGAGTTATAAGGATATTTACTAAAGGAACTAGAAATAATAGCAAAACCGAACAGAATACAAAGGGAGAGGAATTTAATAAAAAAGAATATCATGAAACTTGTCATCAATGATATAAAATTTCAAAATTAGTATTTATAAGACATGCATGCATAAATGAGGAAGGGGGAAGAATCCCAAGCTATGTTATAAAGCAATAAACAAATGGGGGCTTGAAACAATCCTCTAACATTTAATAAGCAGATAAGAAAAAAGTACAAAAGATAATTGTAGCAGTACTTCTGATACTAGTCAAGGTGGAATAATAGAGACAAGCTATATCTTCTGACTGAAACATTTCAAAACTGTAACAAAGCACAGATGGAATGGTTTCATGATTGGAATATCGGGCAGTGCAAGATTGCGATGCTGAGAAGGGGAACTACAAAAGACAAGCTGTAAGATTGGCATGGTTTACTCCCTGAAAAGAGTAAACCTGGCCTCACACTGTTAAGGAGAGGCAATCTGGCTTCTCCCTGAGTTGAGAGATGGGGGTCTGGGGAGACCAAAGGGACCAGAGTTTGTAGAACAGTTGCCATGGAGGAAAGATCTGCCTGGAGAAGCATCTCTAGTCAGCTACGAGTATTCCCTCTGAGTCTTCAGCTGAGTTTCCATCAGCTGAATGCACGTGATGACACTCCCCAGGGCTCACGTACAAAAAACCTGAGAGTTCATATAGGCCCAGGCCTAGTTTTGCTCTCACTAGCCAGAGTGAAAAAACCCTCTAATCTATAGCCACTCAGATCGTGGGTCAAATTAGACCCAGACTAAAAGCTGTTCTTATTCTGCCTAACAAGGCTTAAAAGCAGGCTTTGAAAGGATCTAACTGTTACCAACTAATTTAGATGTGTCTCGAAAAATATTAAAGAATATTTATAGGGAAACAACAAATATATATATATACACATATACAAAATATATATATATGTATATATGTATCTGAATTATTACCTGAATTTATATCTAAATTATCTGAGTTATTCAGATATATATGTGAATTATCTATGTGAATTACATATCACATTTCAGGCTATAAAAATTCATGATATAAGAAGAAAAAATCATGGCTCTGACAAACCAAACATTTAGCATTATAGAAGAAAATATTAGTAAATTTTGAATGCATAGCAGTAGAAACTATTCAAAATTAAATGCAGAAAAAAATTATAGAAACCAAATTCCAGGAAAAATAATGATCTGTGCAATAAATTCAAGTGGCTTAATATATATATATAATTCAATCCTCTGAAGGGGAGGAGGGGGGGAAGAAAAACATATTTGAAAAATAATGACCAACACTTTTGCCAACCTCTGCTCTACAGATTTATATTCAGAGGAGAATTATGTAACAGCAGTTGGCACTTAAGAAGTGCTTCAACTGTGCCAAAACTCTGCTCCACAGTAGAAATTAATCACATGTAATAATTATTCTCCATTAAATATGCACTGTTATATTTTTCTCATTTATAGATGAAGATGTTATAGCTCTGAGATGGTAAGAGACATGCTTGAGATCACAATGGATTCGTATGGGGAAGAGCCAAAATTTTAAAAAAAAGGAAAAAGTTGGTTTGACCTCAAATCCCAGAATTACAACCATTAGGCTGAGAAGCTTCATATTTTAATGAAAGTTAATTTAAAACTAACATAATACAGTGCATGGGAACATTATATTTGTATTTAACATGTGAAATTGAAAGCCAAGCATTTAAATCTTGAATGGAGGATACAGATGAGGTGACTTAGCCATGATCTTACCCCTTTTGCGGAGCATCTCTGTTACACAGACCACAACCCCACAGTAGGATATTTAATCACTTTCTAAACCACAACCCTTCCACTTACCATCATTTTCATCCTTCTTTACCTTCTTCATCCTTAGAGTTGCCAAAGGAACAGATAAAATGAAAAAGGGAAGCCTAAATTGTTTTAAAATTTATTTTTAAATATTTACTTAAAAAATAAAAAAGGAGAAAGGAGATGGCAGGTTCTATAAATAGAATGGAGAAGAGAAAAATTTCAGACAAACTTTAGCAAGAAAGTGTTAAGTGCTGGGGGCAGCAGCTGGGGGAGGAAAGTTTAGAGAAACTTATTAATAACTGTGTAACTTCTCAGTGCCCTCAAAATGTATTTTTGGTAAAATAATCTACATATTTCAAAACTTCTGGGTGTTGGATTCATATGAATGTTAGAATATTTGAGGTAGAATCTGACATCGAGTAAAGTCAGATTGGTTTTCTCCGGGTTAGTCATATTCGTGGCATACATCCCGTGCTCTCTGTCACGTTTTGGCCTCCTTTGATCATTTACCATGGAAGGCACATTCAATGCTGGCAGCCTTTTTGAAAGAAAACATGAGAGTTTGTTTTAATGCTTATCTTACCTCTTACCATGTCAGCCTTTTATTTCTCACATTGTGCTGGTTTCCCCACATGTGGAAACTTCCACAAAGCTCTTTTGACTTTTTTTTCCCAAGGAAAGAATCCCTTTTCGACTTCTTTAGAGACTCTTCATATGCACAAGCCCTGCAACCTGGTATTACCCATTGAATATGGACTCATTCCTAGTGACAATTCTATGGCTAAGCTGCCCAGCATGCATCTGTGTCCAAGGATGATACACAGTGTAGGCCTGTTCACTAATAGCCAGACTTCACTTTTTTTTTTCTCAAATTGAGTTATAAGCTAAACACATTATTAGTTTGTGGGGAAAAAAGAGCTTCCATTTTTCAGTTTTTAAATAATCAACTTAAATTTTTGTTCTGTTCTTTTGACCCTAATGATAATAACAACCAAAGAGTAGTGGCTATTTTTCAGCTAATGAGCACAGAAATCACCTGTAGACCTTGCTAACATGCAGATTCTAATTCTGTAGGTCTGAGCTAGAGCCTGGTATTCTGTATTTCTATCAAGCTTTGAAGTGGTATTAGTGGGGATCGTCTGTAGATAATGGCAAGAAACTAGAAAGTAGTGGAAAAATGAAGGAGAAACCTGGGTCCCAATATGTCCACATGGAGCAAAGTCATGTCACTGTCCTGGACGATTTACCTGAGAATTGTTAAGTGAAAAAAAAATAAATTTATTTATCTTTAAACCACCATTTTTCTCTATTCTTGTTGTAGCTACTAGTGTTGTTTACCTTTTACCTTAACCAGTACACATGACTTCTATTTTCGTTTCTTCAAGATCTGAGATGGCAGCTGAACACTAACCACTGTGTCCATGTTCTATTTTGGCAGCAGGAGACAGAGAAGGCAGGTGAGTTTTTTTAGTTTCCAAGGAGACTTCCTGTGAGTCCCACACAATACTTCTGTTTTTATCTTATTGTGCAGATCTTACTCATATGCACCTCCTTATTTGAGAAAGAGACTGAGAAATCTAGTTTTGATTCTGATAAACTATGACTTAATTATAAATAGGGTGATCACAGAATTTACTGTACAACCAGCATATATTGATAGTGAAACTGGGTGCTCTTAAGAATTATCCTGGAACAAGAGATTAACCCAACTCTGCCTGGGCAAACAGGAATATATGCACATCCTTCTTATAAAATAGAAAAGAAAGAATGTTAGAATAGAAAACTAATAGTTGTTCTCATACAGTGCTCCACAAGAATCATTTGGAGGGAAACTGAAAGGAATGAGATGTGACATACAAACCACAACTTAATGTAGCTTTCTTTAAAATGCTGACTTTACTCCTAGAGGGTTTCATTATACATTTTATTTTTAAAGTCTCTTTTTGAGTGCAAAGCTTCTTCTGCATGATCAAAGATTAAGCATATAGTAGGGTACACCCTCAGAGAAACTACACTTTTTATAACCGAGAAATGTGTTATGGACAGCTGAGACTATTTCCAGGAAGTGCTACTTATTCATGGTTAGAGAGCATTACTGAGATGCTGCTAGAATGGCAAATATCAGAGTCTGATAGATGATAGAGGCTGGTGGTGTGCTCAAAGTCCAGCCTATGAGATCATTTGAATCGTTTAAAGAAATAGTCCTATTATGACTGAGTTGAAATGTCCAAATATTCATGACAGACAAGATCTAAGCAGCTATAAAGCAGTAAAACACTTTATCAGAAAGCTTAGATGGCTGTATAATCCATGTGGCTAAGGATTTGGGTGCAGGGGCCTCTGGCCAAGGGTTTTGACTCACAGCGAAGTTCTCTTGATTCATTTTCAGGCTGGGTTTATAAAAGTGAAAACTTTTATTCTGAACTTCACCTGACACAATCTGACCCTTCTCCAATTTTTTATCCATTCATTTAAACTAATCGCTTACAGAGAAGAAAGGCTAGCTCTCACTCCTGAGAGGAGGTAGCACACAACTTGGAAGAGGACCTGGGGCTGCTACAGGCTGACAGGCAGTGGAAGAGGGACACACACACAGCTAAAAAGCCTTAAAGGCATGCTAGCTGACTTTGGGGAACTTTCATGGCTTCTCTTACTTAAGCTTCCTAATATGACTGAAAAGTAAAAGAAACTGAGTAAACCAAAAAGCTTTACATTGTAATTTCCCCAAAGCAAAGGCAGACAAGTTAAAAAATCACCTCTGGTATCTTAGTGGGCTGAAGGCACTAAAAATATGCCACAAATAGCAAAAGATCGTACCATGGCATTACAGAGAACTACAAAACTTATTGGGGTTTCCAACAGGATATTTAAAAGGATTATTCTCTAATGGATAAACTACTAAAATACCTTCCTTGAAGACATTTTTCTACTGTGTCACCCTTAGAAAATGTATAACTAACAGAGGATTCCCTATTAGTTGCTTGAGCCTCACAGCCATTTGGGACATACTAGAGGGGAGTCCTAGGAGAAAGAGTAATTCCCCTGATGGGCCTTGTCTCTAATGAACTCTTTTGTATCCATAAAGTTCTAATAGCCTAGAGGTTATACTAACTTTATTATGACAAGGAGGCTATAATAGAGGCCAATAGTTTTTACCAGACGGTATCTATCCAAAAATGAGTCTAAAAAATTCTGTAATCTCAAGTTAGACATGATGTGGGGAAAAATGTTCAGAGGTTGTTTGGAGTAGAATCTAAGCAATACAATGAGGAAGGGGTTATCAACCAATTTCGTTACTCTCTACTGTTGGACAAGTGTTTCAGGTTTATTATAGAGCAGATGTCAGCAATAAAGTTATTGATTCTCTTCCATAAATGGGCCTATTTGCATGTATTCAAATGAGCTTTTATAAGAGGAACAGAATAATTGGGTACTAGAAAGGAGCGGCATAAAATATGATGCTGAAGGAAGTGTTGCTACGCACTGACCCTTTCTCCTCATTCCAAGCTGGTTGTAGAGACAATTGCCTCAGGAGGGATGGAAGAACAAAAACAGAAGTGGTTAGAGGAATAATAGACAATTTTGAAGTGGAGAAAGATTAAAGGAAAAAAAAATAAAACAGAATATTCTGGGCCAAAGATTTAGGACATTCTCTAAAGATAATTAAATTTTGCCAAATTACAAAGCAAACAGCACTCACTAATGGGGTGCTATACTAATTACCAACCTGAAGTTCATCTCACTAATGGGGTGCTATACTAATTTGAAGCTGCAAAAACAAAGGAATAATTGATGTTTCCCAATGAATAGCGAGGCTGGTTTTGAAAGCATCGAATAATCAATTTAATCTTACTAGAAAAGAAATGGTCCTATGACTGATCTGGATTCAATTTATCTGGTCCCAGATAGCCTAAGAAGGCAAACCTAAATCTGAGACCCTTTTCTGTAGTATCAGTTTACCTACATGCTACTTAGAAGTTACTGGATTTAGGATATATGGACACCTTGTCCTTAGAACACTATAGGCAGAAAACGGGCAAACTGTCTTGTTAATCATTTCCCCTCATCTCAGGCTTAATTACTCAGAATAAAATGTCACAGCAGTTGTTCATTTGTTTAGGGACATAGGGAATGTGCATCACATTTTTACACACTTCTAATGTCACTAGAAATCACGTCACTGACGTTTCAACCTCTTCCTTTGAATTTGAAAAGGAAAGAAGAGAAGCAACAACGACAAAAAAGAAACATGATGTTAGCTGCCCACTGATCTTGTCTTGCCGGCGGGTGTGTACAGGAAGTGAGGTGAGTCATTAATGACACTGCAGAAGAAAATTCTAGGAATTCTCCCAGTAGAGGGTGCGCATTGAGCAAGTTCTAGAGCCCTTGGCTTAGGGACACCTCATGGTTTAGAACTTAGAGATTTTACTAAATATATTAAGGTAATTTTAATATACCTTGTGAGATAGAAATCACTATCCATGATGTGCTATTTTCAGTTACCATTTTCATCATATTTACTCAGATTTAACAGGAATTCTTCTCATGTAGATATTAATGCATTATTATTTCGACATTTTATTCATTTCCCTATGTAAAAGAAATCAAAGAGAAAATAAATTACATGTATATTTGTGTGGGAATAGTTTTGTAAATATAAACATACATGCTAAATTCCACCTATCTAGCGCCAAAAAAGACAATACTCTAACTTCTTTAAAAACAGTGTACTGTGGCTCCTTTAACACACAACTTTCATTTCCAGGGCATTTTACTATATGCATGCTTTACCATTTAACGTTATAATTGAAAATATACAACAGAGAAATATACTTTCTCTACACAGTGACACCGCAGAACAGTATTTCAAAGTACTAGGGAAATGGCACCTTTGTAGGATAAAAGACCTTAAAGTTAGAAGTCTCCGTGTTTTATATTTACGTGCTTGTGACAGAAATGTAGTTGTCACATCTCTTGCCAAATTACCCTATTTCATTTTAAACTCTTGTATAATGGGTACAGCAAAGCAAGTAAAATCTGACAGTTTCAAGGCTCTGAATTAGATTCTAAAAAAAAAAGAAGAGTCAGGGAAATAAATGAAGAATAATCTGGATATACAGTGTGAACTGCTATCTTCAAGAACTACTGTTCAGGCTGAAAAACATATACATCTATGTGTGCTGACATGGGGGGCTGTACCAACCTGCTCCTAATTGTCTAGGAATCCTGTTCCATCCATTTCTCATGTGTCTTCCAGAAACCAACGTGAAAAAGGTGTCTTTCAGCTTCAATACTTGAGCCGTTTTCTACAGCTACTTATTCTGCATTAAAAACCCAAACAGTCTTTCTGTCAGAAAGAGAACAGAAATGTGACCTCTGAATAGCACAACTTGTAGAGACCTCAGGAATCGTACAGATCCTTTCTCATCCAGCGGAGAAAAATCTGTTTGTCGGCTTCTCTACTTCATTTCCATTCAAAAAAAGATTACAAATAAGGTATAAAACTCAAGAGCTTTTCTAGAGGCATGGAGAGAGGATTCTGTAAGGTAGAGTATCAAACACCAGCAACTGCACTAATTGTAAAAATCATGAATCATTTTAATAGAATTTCCTTCCAGTTTGAATTGTTTCATACACATATAAATGTCAACTTTAGGAAATGTTGAGACAATGGAAAATAAATGCATGACAACAACAACAACAAAAAGATTTATGTAGTTATCAGATAACTACATAACTTTTTGTCATGTTCTGTAGCCAATGAAGTGGAATGGAAACAACATGGATCTTGAAAGAAACCCCTTATCCCTTCTGCTAAAGGATGAAGTATAATTAACTATACTAGCCTAAGTATCTGGCTAAAAATACAGTGTATGGAAGTTTCATTGATCTAATTCCTAACAAGTAGAAATTTGGTGGCACAAAAATGTTTAATTTTGTTTGTATTCTTTGCTTGCATTTATTGGTTAGTTTTATTTAGTATTGAAAAGGCTGTTAAAGGTGTTTTTAGTAACACAGATCAGAACCAGTTGCAAAGTACATGTAAAGTGATCTTGAAATAACAAAGATGCTAAGTTAGTATATCTGCGAATAAGCAATTTAATAATTTGTACCAGCCTCAGGCCCTCTTCCAAGTTGTATGCTACCTCCTCTAAGGAGCTTGTTCTTTATGCAAAAATTAAAAAATATAATACAAATAATATTCCATTCTTATTCTTCTTATCCTAAAATATTATCTTACTCTTGATCAGTAACTTCCTCACTAAAGCTTTTAAAGAAATTTTAATTATTTTAATTGACACCTAATCACCCTTTTAATCCTTAACGCTCTTGCTTTTTTAAAAGTTTCAAATACAATACAGCTCTCTCATTCCCACCCCCCCTGTAAAGGCAATTTCATAATCACACAGACCTGACCTGGTTTTGCTCTTCCTCTTCAAGAGACTGTTTGGCCTTCATAATTTTCCTTAATTGTCTAAGTCTTGATTTTCTCATCTATAAATGGTCATAATATCACTTTCTTAAAATAGAGTTTATTGAGCTAAGTATACACATATTTAGTTATGCAGTACAATTTTGGCAAGGGTTGAGTGTTCAATCCAAGTTATTATTTAAATAATGATAAATAGCAATGTTATTATACATACTGTTAAGTAACAATCAATTAGATACAATTCAAAGTGATTCTGACACACAAGCTTCTTTCCGCTGTTTCTCTTAATTCTCCAGGGCTCTTCTAGACACTTTGAAGTTCACTTGATTATACCCTCCTGGATTTGTTTGTGGCCTACTAATGTTAACTTCAGTTCTCCTCATTTACTAAGGCCTTGTGGGGTAAATGGAAGTTTGCACCCAGAATTTCCTGCCCTACTTGTTTATCAATAGGCCATGCAGTGTTGCAGCTGGGACAAGGGGTGGAGAAAAAAACAACCATTGTCTCCTCCCCTCAGTTCCAGGTATGTAATTGGTCTGGCATTTGCCAGTCATCAAGGACCCGCCTATGGAGTTCCTCCCAAAGGGGCCCATGGGGAAAGCAAGTGGGCACCATGGCCATAGGGGATGATCAGAGCAAGCGCTGTCTAGAGAATCCAAGTGAGCTGTGAGCAAAAATAAAACTTCTCTCTCAACCTGCCCTTTCCCTTGTCTTACTTTGGTTTTTCCGGATTCACTGAAACTTGCCCTGAGTGGAAACTCCCAGGGCTACAGCCTTTTCTACAAGACATCTCTCCAAAACTCTTTCCAGAATCCCTAAAATCTGTAGAAGGCACAAGCTAACCCATCCTTAACCCTAGATTCCTCTTTAAAACAATGTGCCAAGTAATTGTTAGGGAGGAAGAAATTTCCTCTAACCCTCAACCCTCAAGGTTTATCCTGCTGGTCTAAGAATCAAATTGACATGAGACAGATCAGCAGGATGGAAACCAAAGTTTAATTATGTACAGGGAAGCCCCAGACATGAGTTCCCAAGACACTCAGGAAGAATGAGGTCTGTATGTCATCCTGAATCAAGAAGAAGGGGTAGATGTCTGAGACTCCAAAGGAAAAGAGAAGTGATTCGTAGGAATATAAAAAGAGTAAATATCTGGTAAACAAAATACTTAATGGGCCACACAAGTAATGATGGGGCACAGAGAAATTTTAGCAGATTTTGTCATATCCTTCCTGTCACCCCTGGTTTGCATTATGGCATAGCTGTCTGTGGTGACAGCTTTCCTCCTAGAGCAGTTCCTCCATCTAAATTCTTTTTATGCAGTTTGGGGTGAGGGTGTCTATATTCCTGAGTCTTTTGGGCCTTGGTGGTTATCAGTTCAGAATATTCCTCATATCAAAGTGGTACATTTTGGGGCAGCCTGCCATTGGTCCCTATATAATCAACCCCAATCAACCTGAACAACTCATCAGCAAGGCCTTACATTAAAACAGATTTTATATATATCTTATACTACACTATGATGATATTCCCCATTAGCCAATTTTCTCATCCACTTCCTTCTCTTAAACAGGCTTGAACTTATCTTGATCCCTCCTTCTTCCCCTACCTGTATATCCTCCTTTACTCACTCCCTTCTCATGGATTAATCCCCTACCTATCTAGCGCCAAAAAAGACAATACTCTAACTTCTTTAAAAACAGTGTACTGTGGCTCCTTTAACACACAACTTTCATTTCCAGGGCATTTTACTATATGCATGCTTTACCATTTAACGTTATAATTGAAAATATACAACAGAGAAATATACTTTCTCTACACAGTGACACCGCAGAACAGTATTTCAAAGTACTAGGGAAATGGCACCTTTGTAGGATAAAAGACCTTAAAGTTAGAAGTCTCCGTGTTTTATATTTACGTGCTTGTGACAGAAATGTAGTTGTCACATCTCTTGCCAAATTACCCTATTTCATTTTAAACTCTTGTATAATGGGTACAGCAAAGCAAGTAAAATCTGACAGTTTCAAGGCTCTGAATTAGATTCTAAAAAAAAAAGAAGAGTCAGGGAAATAAATGAAGAATAATCTGGATATACAGTGTGAACTGCTATCTTCAAGAACTACTGTTCAGGCTGAAAAACATATACATCTATGTGTGCTGACATGGGGGGCTGTACCAACCTGCTCCTAATTGTCTAGGAATCCTGTTCCATCCATTTCTCATGTGTCTTCCAGAAACCAACGTGAAAAAGGTGTCTTTCAGCTTCAATACTTGAGCCGTTTTCTACAGCTACTTATTCTGCATTAAAAACCCAAACAGTCTTTCTGTCAGAAAGAGAACAGAAATGTGACCTCTGAATAGCACAACTTGTAGAGACCTCAGGAATCGTACAGATCCTTTCTCATCCAGCGGAGAAAAATCTGTTTGTCGGCTTCTCTACTTCATTTCCATTCAAAAAAAGATTACAAATAAGGTATAAAACTCAAGAGCTTTTCTAGAGGCATGGAGAGAGGATTCTGTAAGGTAGAGTATCAAACACCAGCAACTGCACTAATTGTAAAAATCATGAATCATTTTAATAGAATTTCCTTCCAGTTTGAATTGTTTCATACACATATAAATGTCAACTTTAGGAAATGTTGAGACAATGGAAAATAAATGCATGACAACAACAACAACAAAAAGATTTATGTAGTTATCAGATAACTACATAACTTTTTGTCATGTTCTGTAGCCAATGAAGTGGAATGGAAACAACATGGATCTTGAAAGAAACCCCTTATCCCTTCTGCTAAAGGATGAAGTATAATTAACTATACTAGCCTAAGTATCTGGCTAAAAATACAGTGTATGGAAGTTTCATTGATCTAATTCC